TCCAAAAAAGAGAAAAAAAAAAAAAAGCAGTTGTGAGGAGGTTCTGCTTCTGTATCCATCTTCCTTTAAAATTCCCACTAAATGAGGGGTAATGGACTGTGAAGCCCGCTTTGTCAAAGCAGCTGAAGAAAAAGCATTTCCCCAAATTTCAAGGGAGAAAATTTTTTTTTTTGTTTGTTTTTTGTTTGTTTCTTTTCAAAAGACAAATGAGCATATTTAGAAAACAGAACTAGTGATAACCTCACATAATCCTCCTCACTAAAACACTGAGGGGGAGAAGCAAAGTGAGACCGGAATAAAGTCTTTCCTGGAGCGAGGTGACGGGAATACTTGTCAAATGAGCCACGAGATGGTTTCTGTGAGAACAATGATATATTCCCAGTAAGTCAGAGAGGGAAAATATTCCAAAGAAAGCAAGACGACTCAAAGACATGTTCCCGGTGCATAGTGGTAGAAGCTCCTTATCCATCCTCTTTAGGTGGTGTGTACCAACCTGAAGGAACAGAAAGACAAACGCAGTTATTTAAAGAAGCCTTGTTAAAGTGGAATTCATTGACAGTGCATATTGTACACGAACACACAAAAGCCTGATATAAATGCAGTTTCAAACAACTAGAACTGTAACACCGATGTGGTGAAAGAAGAGTGCACAGTTCATCCTGCATGTGGGTCATTGATGTGACCTATTTCTGTGCACCAGCGCATCATTTCTGTTAAATGAATTCGTTTATTTTATAAAACTTAGTTTGAATACATTTGTAGTGCCTTCAAATATGAATTTTTAAAAGTTATCTAAAACCTGTAAATGTCACATGGTCCAACTGTTCGTTTAAATGAACAGAAGACCATCTCTTTAAATGATAAAATATTTAAAATAAAATACATCTAGGCTGGTACACTTTTCATGGCAGGTGGTATGACCAGTGTATGTCATAAAAAAGTGATATGTTTATGCTATTGCTACCAAAAACAAAGGTCAACATTGGTGTCCAAGTAAAACCCTATTTAAACTGGTAATAGTTGTGAAAGTAAGGAGTGCAATCTCAGATCTTTCTTATCTAATAGCTTTTATTATTTAATAGTTTTACTTAAAATATTTGAGACTCAGCTTTTGTCATGAACTGAATAAATTGTTTTATACAGAAATTTAGGCACAAAATATGATTCAGAGACACAAATTTATAAAACATTCATACATAAATGCGTTCATGCATGAATACCAAATACTACGTCACATCGATGACCCACAAATGACTGCAGTACCCAAAAAAAGGCCATTTTAAACCAAGAGAAACAGGGTGTGTGTATACATGCAAATGAAACGTGCACTTATAACTAGAGATGGCACGATACCACTTTTTTATGTCCGATACCGATATCATAAATTTGGATATCTGCCGATACCGATATGAATCCGATATAGTGTTTTTTAATCAACAAAACAGTTTTTTAAATATCTTGCTGCATTTTGTATAAGTTCATACTCAAGTTTAAAACAACAACTACACTAAAGCTATTCTGTTATACCTGTATACAAAAAATATATTTCATAGTTCAGCAATACTGATAAATCTAATAAACTTAAACCTACACCATCCTCCCTATTCTGGTATTTTAAAGAGTACTTAGCGTAAATATTAAGCAACCTAACTAATAGGGTTCCAACTCCCAGCAACAACAAAAATAAATAAATAAAAAATAGGGAACCACCCATCACGCTCCACCTCATGATGCTTAATCGACGTAATCAACTTTAATTTGATGCAGTGTGAAAAAAATGCACAGAAATCAATTATTTTTCAAGAAATATTAAATAGATTCAACATCTTTCTTCAACAAAATTGCAGACTGCACAGATGGTACCTTCCCAAAGGAAAAAGTACTATAGCTTACTAGGGTATATATATTAGACTTAATAGTCACTATATACAGTAATGGACTTCTATTCATTTTACATCAAATTAAAATTTGGGTGTAAGATTCGGATAATTATTTATTAAAAGCTAGACATTTTAAATGAGAATAAGAAAGAAAAGTATGTCTTTGTGCCCCCTTTTCCCTGTTAATGCCCTATCGGCCCCCCTGGCTAAACTTTGCTAGATCCGCCCCTGCACAGTTACCAGCCGTCAGCTACGTAGAAAAAGATCCTGATGTAGAAAGTAATATTAAATACATTCTAACAACAGCTGATCAAGCTTAAACGTGCTGCTGTTGTTCAGCCGCTGGTTTCCTCTTTCTGGTGCAAAGTGGGCCAAAAACAAACAACAGAGACGGACTCGCGACAGAAAAGCCGATCAGCTGATCGTTAAGCAGTTTCATGATCGAAGTAGCAGCAGGAGAGGCAGTCGAGTCGCTCGTTAAGCTTAACGCAGGAATGCTTTACATTCAGAGATGGACTTACACACTTGCTTTACTTCTCTCGGGGATAACTTTGTCAGAGATGAAATGCCGGGTTGCTAGCGAAGCTCCACATGCTATCCAGACCACCAACAGGTCCCGCATGCCACAGCCGCTCTATCACGTGATGCATACTGCTCCGACGTGCTAACGTTCTGAGGCGAGTTACGGCGTGTTGCAAGTTTGTGAGGTGCTTTCGTGATATTTAATGGATCGGATTACATTTTTTATTTTTCTCCGATATCCGATCCAGTAATTTAGGTCAGTATCGGACCGATACCGATACGTAATATCGGATCGGTCCATCTCTACTTATAACCTTTAAGTACAGTACAAAAATGCAGTGGTATTTTACATATGTGGAAGTATGCTTAAAGCTAATGGAAATGCCATTAGTAAAAACATAATACTCAAATTGTAATTTGTGTGAAAAACAGTGGGACTAGTATGGATTTTGTTTGTAAAAAGGTTAATTTTTTTTTTAACACTTTTGCCTATAAATTTTAATTTCCCAGTAAGAAAAGCTTGCTCATGTTTACATTTATATGAAAGTAGACTGTATACATGCATCAGTGTATGGGGACCATTAGCTAAGGATCATGATGTTCCCATTGTGTGTTTATTGAGTGTCAGTAATTCATAACTCTTTCCTTACCATTCTTTTCATGAATCTGAACCAGGGATTTGTATGACTGTTGTGCTCTGGCAAGATTGTACTGGTTCTGAAAGACAAAAGGCAACATGTCAATACGCAGAAGCAGGATGATCCATTTATTTTACTTGTTTTCATTACTGAAACAAAGTTCATTTGAAAACAAAAACAAACATTACACCAGTTCATGATATGTGTTACCTTATTGGCTCCAAACTGCACCCTGGCTTTTCCTTTAACCAGAGTTGCATTTATCTGCATAATGACAGATTCTATGGAATAGGCACTGCTCCAGCCCTAACAAACGCAAATGGAAATGAATCAGTTCCTGTTGTTAGTCATAATTATTATTTTATTTATCCCATTTGCATACCTGTTTTGTGAGAAGTTCCATGCACAATGCTCCTCCCCCTAAAACATAACTGGGAAAAAAAAGAAAAAAAAAAAAAGATTCACAAATGTGTCATTGAGTGAGAGTATTAATCTTTTCAAAAAAAAAAAAAAGTATTTTTCTTGCTCTCCAGAATTTTCTTTTTTAATTTGCTAAAATTATCAGAAGCCTTGAAAGTAAGTATAGCACAGTGATGTATGGCAATGGCGTGTGCTTTATAATTCCTTTTAAATTAAATTTTAACTGCTTCACCTCTACTGCCATAAGCATAGATACAGTGAATCTTCACAAGTCATACCATACTTATTTACAACAGGACTTCTCTCTAGCAGAGGATCTCCTGTTCTATGATAATAGGTTATTTCTACCCTGTACCGAACACAATGCAACATAATCCACTGTATCTTTTAAAAAATAAATAAATGAAAAAAAAATCCTAAGCCACTTAATTTCATGTAACATTTGCTTTATTGAACCACTTGACACACACTTTATTTTTACTTAACTCTTTAGAGTATTATATATATATTATATCATCAAACTCCTTATTAAGCACCTGTAATTCAACTTTTGTTTTAAATTTTTTATTTCCGACTTCCTTTGTTTTATCCTGTTTAAGTTCGGTCTTCCCATTTTCATCTTCGTAATATTAACTGCCTTCACTCACTCCACGCCATACTTGTCAATGCTCTTGTCACATCTCGTTTAGATTTTTGTAATTCTCTTCTCTGTGGTCTACCTCAAATCTCTCCATAAATTGCAGTTAGTTCAAAACAAAGCCGCTCGTATTATATTCTGAATTAGATCTACTGAACATAGAACACCTGTTCTTAAACCGCTCCGTTGGTTTCCAGTTCACCTCCGTGTCCATTTCAAGATCCTGCTTCTTACTTTCAAAGCGCTTCTTAACCTTGCTCCCCCATATTTATTTGATCCTTTCCATACGTACTCACCCCCTAGTACACCTTGCTCTTCTTCAGTTTCCCTTCTGTCTGTTCCACCTGCTCGCCTGACTTTCATGGGACTCAGACCCTTTAGTTGTTTTGCCCAGAGACTTCACAGTTCGGAGATGTGGTGGAAGTGCATTCCAAACTCTCTCTCCACTTTTAAATCGCGTCTTAAAACCCATCTATTCAAAATTTCATACCCTTCATCATGATTCCGTCATAGTCCATTTGTACCTTGTTTAGCTTTTATACTTTATTTTTCATTTACCTTATGTTTTATGGGTTATTTGTACTAATGTAAAGTGACCTTGAGCGTCTTTAAAGGCACGATAAATAAAATGTATTATTATTATTAGTTTTTTTTTTAAGTTATTTCTTTAAACACCACCTATAAAATGGCTTAAACAATCTTAAGGCTGCGATACAGCAGAAATTTACATATTTGTTTAGTCTAAACAGTGGAAATGTTTAGACTAAACATTAGTCTATTTAGTTATTTTTTAATAACAGAAGAAACCATTTGAAGTTGTCAAGCAAATCATAAAGCATATTCTGGGCAGTAACATTCATAAGATGCATATGATGTTGTATGTAATTTGGGCTGGGAACACTACTGCACACTCACCCTCCAGAGAGCACAGGCGAGACAACCCGTACAAAAGGTGGGTCAAAGGGAAAATTATCCTGTTGTAGAGAAGAAGAAAAAACTGCCTTAAGACAGCCCTATACTACAAAAAAAATAAAATAAATCTGTTGACAATTACTTCCATAGGACTCACTTTATAAGAGAAATTGAGCAAAATGTAATCCACTCCTTCCTTTTCTTTTAAGACCTGCAAGTCACTATGTAATGGACTATCTGGGTCTACCCTGTAACAAACAGCAACAGAAAAGGTCAAATAAAAGCATAATTTTCAAAGTTGGAAATATAAATAGAATAAAAATACACTCAGAATAAGAACTTACGTCCTTAACTTCACATGCCATTCATAAAGGCTGTCATTGACTAGTTCGACTGAATAAATACCTGTGAAATGAGTCACAAACGCACAAAGAGCTTCACTTAAAGCTTCTGGAAAAAAAACATTAAATACAATGCAAGCCACAAGCATTGAGTAATGGTTCCTTGTATTCACCTGTCTTGTAACTCTGTGACCTGTAGATCTCCCTGAGTTCCTTCATTAGGCGGTCTGAGGCTTGCACTGAGCCAGAGACTGCACCCTGCAACATAAAACAACTGACGGTTAAACAACTGGACAAACAGGAAGCATACCAGAGGTTTTCAGATTTTGCACAATTTTCTTGGACTGCTGCATTTTTGCACTGAGTGTTGGAGGTTGCTGTTAAACTGGTAGGTTGCATGAGAATGTACAACTTCTTCCCTTTATAATTGACAGACTCAATGAGTCTGTCAATTATACCGCGCCGAAAAAAATAAACAAATCATAATTAAAATTATTTTCTAGTAGAAATTCATACAAAAGACTAATTATCTCATCGTGATTGTGCATTCATAATCTCCAAAAGCCAAAAATATTAACTGAGATTAAGGTTTGATTAAAAATGTGACAGATGGAAATCTTACATTCAAGTGATCTTGTCTCTGATTTTTACGGATTTTCTCCAAGATAGCCAGATTTTCTTTTTCTATCCCTTCATCTTCTGACTTTTTTCCATCCACCGGCTCCTCTTCTTTCATTTCGTAATGGTCCAGGTCTTGGTCCAGATCAATATCCTGCTGGCAGAACACATACATTTGTTCAGAAAAGAGAAAAAAAACACCAAAGATATTAAACAAATTGACGATCAATCAATGGATCATATTTGGATACCTCTCCCATTTCGTCTTCTTCTTCCTCTTCAGATGTCACGTCACCTGATAACCCGTGCTGTGAAAGGTTGGAAATTGAAAAACAGTGAGTAGCTAAGGTCAACGAAAGACTCTTGAGCTTTACTCTTATTTACTGAGCTTACTTTTCTGTCTTGGGTGATCGGGCCAGCTGGTAGAGGCTGGTCCAGCATTTCTACATCTGGATGTTGTGGCAGGTTGTAAAGACGACAGAGATCACAAATAAGGCGCTTCAACTGCTGTAGAAGCTATAAGAAACATCGAGAAGATCAACTGTCAATAATAATATTAAATTACATTTTCCTACTGTAGCAAAGCATCCTATGTGGAGCAAGAGCCATATTAACCATCTTACCAATGTGCTGCCTTTCCTCACATCTTCTAGGCGCTCCAACACTTCAGCCAGACTGGGATCATCAGAGTCGACAAACCATATTGGTGGCGTTGAGGGATAGGATTCCTGCAACAGCAGCAATAAGAATCATGCTCAAGTGCTGATGGCTTTACAGTCAACAGAAGGCACTTGAATTGTACAGAGAAAACCACTGCTTTTAAGAAACAAAAATGTCACCCTGGGTTAGAAATCTGATTAACATAAAGGGTAATAAAGTTCGTTTCAGAGTTACAAGTGACTTCAAACCAAAAGCCTTAGCCCACACAGCCACCCACTGCACAAAATTAGCCTCCTACAAGCTGAAGAGCGAAAGCAACTCTAGCACGAGAGAGAAGTGGTTAAGCGCTCCTTTGACATTTCAATTAGGTCTTAATACAGCTTTTGAAGTCATGAGTAAAAATCCAGTTTTCAACTGCTGTGCTTAGCAGCAAACGTATTCAAACAAGCATTTAGACACATATGGTAGTACTATGTAAAGTTTGTAAAGCCCAAGAGAAGAAAATACTGCACACAGAAGAAGAGAGAACCATGTATATATTAATAAGAGATGTTTTATTTTTGATTAGGTTTTTCAGAAAGTTAAGCAAGATGTTGAGAGAAAACATGCTGTATAAAATATGCAGTAATGACTGTGCAGTATTCATGTTAAAATGACTGCACTGAAGTCTGAGAAAACTTCCCTACTTTTCAACTGATTCAAGATCCCAATTTAAAAAAAGAAAAAAAAAAAAGAAGTTTGTCTCGATTGGTAGTTTTAGATAAAGTTCAAGACCAATTTTTCTTCTCGTTTTAAAGGTTAATAAATCTGCTGGTTTTCCAGAGTCTGAGTAATCATGCTGATTAACTGAGTCAGAAACATCCCTCAATCATAATGCCTGCTTTCAAACAACAAAGATGGTGATGACCAAAAAGCTAAACTCGTGTTTAATTAAAATAGGATCTGACTGAGTGCCTGATACATGCATGCGCCACAGATGAAAAATATTATAGTATTTACAACCTCCAATCAAACCTGGCATAAGTGGGGAGGAGTTAAACACTCGGTGCCACAATGTAAACTACACTGTGTAAACTGGGCATCTAATTGTAACCATGACTTGGATGCTGACGTGAATGCTCTTTACAAGTCAGAAACTGGTGAACTGGTAATTACGATGCTTTTATTATCAGCACAGTGCAGTGTTAGTGTAACTCAATAATATGTGCCTTTCAACTTCTTACTAATCTCCATACTAGAGTTCAGCTGATAAACTGATCTTTTACACAAAATGTCATCAATTTCCGAGTTCCTGCTTCTATTTTACGCCTTCGATAACTAAGTGTCACGAGATTTGGGCTGTTGTTACACATTTTAACATTTATTCTTCTGTCTAACTGAACTCTGACTCTCATTCAAGAAAAATGCTGTAAAGTTTATTTTATACTTGCACACAGTGGCCCCCTTTTTGAAAGCTGGAGTGTGTGGTACATAATGGGCGAGCTAGAGGGTCAGTCTCTGCAGGTATTTAAACAATTTATCAAGGACAGAGTACAATGGCAAGGAATTTTTGGAAAAAGACTGCTGAAACAAGTGGAAAATAAAAGACTTTTTGCAGAGAAGTCTAGAAAAAACACCTTTGTGTTTGTAAGACACTTCCTACTTCCTATAAATCATTGCCTACAACTCCAACAGTCAAGTGTACCCGTATGTGTGACTGTCTAGGATAAAGCCATCTATAATTTCATCCATCTAATTTCAAGCTTATCTAAGGTCAGGTCACAGAAGCTGTAGCCCTTAACATTATATTTCAAACATCTTTTTACTCCAGTTACTCCTTGAGGACACCCACTCCATCGCAGTACCCAGGGATAAATAACCTGAGTGTTCTGGTTTTGACCCAGGGTCTCCTCCGAGTTGCCAGTGCCCAGAAAACCTCCAAAGGTAGGTGTTAAGGAGGTATTCTGGCCAGATAACAGAACCATCTCAGTTAGCTCCTTTAAAAGTGAAGCAAGAGGGACTCTACTCTGTGCTCCCACTGGATATCTGACTGTCTTACCCAGTCTATAACACTGAGCTCAGCCACCATATGATGGAAACCGATCAACCCCTTTTATTTGTGACCTTGTTCTCACAGTCGCAACCCAAAACTCATGACAACAGGAGAGGGCTGGAACTACAGACAGTACAAAAGATGATCCAGGCATCTGATTTGGGTCTGAAAAGTGAAGTCTATTTGTCTAAATCTGTTACGTTCACATGACGGCTCTACGTGTACATGGTAAATAATGTGCACTTGTCTTTAAATAATACCAGCGAGAATAACAGCATCAGTGGGTGCTCTCCTATGTTTCACAAGACAGAACATTTGGTTTATGCTTTGACCCGTCTTCCTCCCTTCATACCAACCATTTGTGGAAGATGGCCACCCCTCCCTGAACCTGGTTCAGCTGGAGGTTTCTTCCTGTTAAAACAAACTTTTTCCTTCCCACTGTCGCCAAACACTTTCTCATAGAAAGTCATACGTTGGGTTTCTCGGTGTATGTATTATTGTAGGGTCTACCTTAAAATATACAGTCCCTTGAGGTGACTGTTGTCGTGATTTGAATTAAATGTCTCTTTGCTTTTCTAATCCTTGGAAGACTTGGTTTAAATATCTTTTAAGTATCAGCCGTGCCAGTTTTTCCAACTATTTTAATCAGATATTTTGTGGCTGTCTGCCAACTTAGATGCTAGCATAACACTGTGAATGTGCTGCTTACGTAGCCTTAAGCTTTATTTGTGCTCACCACATTGGTAGCCGTGTGCACCTACTGTGATGTCATTGCAGTACATCAGACTAGAAATCTTCTCCTGATTGATGGAGGTCACCACTCAGACAAAACCTCTGCATCAATGCTTGCATAGAAGGAGGATGCAAAGGAAACAGTTTTATGTTATTTTCCTTCAAAGTCTCATCTTTCTGAAGCAAACTTAAGTGGTGAAAACTGGGCCCTAGACTGCAGTCTAAAGGGGCAATTATAATTTGTATTGTCACCGTTGCAAACAGTGGTGCCTCAAGCCATGCTTGGTCATTTAGGCTGCTTGTACATCTACATTGGTGGCAAAGCTGGTAGACATGAATGTATGGCTGTGACAACTTGCACCACCTTTTCAATGATATAGCAGTATAGGAGCTCAGTGATTCACAAATTATACAGAGGGAGATGCCTCCAGTTTTGATTTCTTCTACTCCTAAACCAGCACTAATGTGGAGGTTTCTGTCTGAGCAGACAAGAATGCAGTTCAGGAGAAGAATGAAGCACTGGTATAAATGCTGACCAGTTTGTAGTGACATTACTGTTTGTGCACAACATGATCAATGCAGTAAACCTAATGGGCTTTGGCATAATCCTAGCTATGAAAAAATAAAAAATAATAATAATGTAAAAATAAATTAATTTAATTTAAAAAAAAAAAAAATTTTAAATCACTCTGTAGCTCTGATGTCTTCGTGGCAATCTGCTTCAAATCATACCCAATGATATCCAACATGACCATGTTCACAGCATGGGGCCACATTTAACTCACAGCTAACCCTCTGAATAGGAAGAATGCAATATACCCGAGTGTAATCTAGTTTTCCTTTAGCATGGGCTAACTCAAAAGGACACAGACAGTGAGGTTTAATCTCAATATAAGGTATTCGGAACGTTTCAACAAGCACTCGCGCGTCCTCAAAATGCGCATAAGTGTAACTGTGTGTGTGCATGCTTCTGCTGAGAGGAGGAGGATGTGGTCAGGTTGTCAGGAAGATTCATCATCTGCTTACCTGAACCAAGCAAAACAAGTGCCAAGCGAAAAGAAAGAACCTCAGTTGTTAATAGATTACACCTACCTTCATCCACATTTTGTGATGGCTGGGAATGTCTGCTTTGCGCAAGTTTGAATTTGATTTTAATCGCTATGTATTGGAGCGGGCTGTGAAACGCGTATAAATACTAGGCCCCTGTTTCGTTTCTTTTTTTTTGGTGGTGGGGGGGGGGCTGCGTTACTAAAAAATATACAGTTCCGCTGACGTTAACAGCTGGTCAAAAAAGCAATATTGTCACGTACATTTCACATGTACATTGCGTCGCTTTCGTCAGGTTTTAGTGTCGAGATAAAGAAGACACTAACGTAACCGCTTTAATGTATGCCAGTAAGTTCGTCAGAGGGACCAGTCTACTTACTGAAAAAGGCAGAAAGGACGACCGAACAGCATTCCATTAAACCGCTTCTATTTCACGTCAATTAAAGCCATGTACGGGACCTCGACGCTATGTCTGTTTAAAAAACACACGTACACAGTAAAATACTGCTTGAAAGCAGCTGGGGTGTAGTGAAAGCCCTCGTATGACCGAACTAAATTAAGTTTAAATTGAACTAGATATAGGCCATAAGTGATAAAGTTAGCCGTTGTACTACTTTCAACAGTAACGCAGTTAATTTGGCAAACAAAAACAAGCTAGCATTAATGTTAGTTTCAGTTAACAAGCTAGCAAAAGCAACCGCAGCGTCGTTACTAATCGACGTTTTATTGTATAATTTTTCAAAGTGAACATAACACTGTTCGTGTGTCGTCCACTTTAACCCACGGGGTTACTCGGATTTTAATGGCCTGACACAGTTTATAAATGAAAGCGAAGACTTTATTCGTAGTTAATTTGTAAACACGGTGCCTTCCGCGGACCGATTTGGTTTCAGTCGATAGTCAGACGCTGGGTTAGCTTGTGCGCAGAGCTGGCCTGGACTCACCGTGATGTTGCAGTGGATGATCAGCAGCTTCTCCCCTGTTACGTTGAATTGGCAACTGAGTTCATCGGGTTTCCAGTCTATTATTCTGAATCGTTCGTGGTTTGGGTCAAAGATTGACTCCAAAAACTTCAGTTCGGCCTTCAGCCCCGAAACCGACATCTTCTACTCATCTCAAACCACCAGGCCGCTGGCAGAGGGGAAGTCGGGGCGGAATGCGACCGCGCAGTCGAATCGGCTGTACGGATCTCGCATATTAGCGTGAGAACAACAACAAAGGGCTGGAGAGTTAGCTTTATATAAACCTGTGTAGCGCACATAGACTCTTAGCAGCGTTTTGACAGCTGTGACACCACATACGTACATAAATATATTTACATTATTTTATATTTATTTTCGCACCAGTACAGATGGAGTCATAGTTGTGACTTTTGCTTAAACGAACCATTTAACAGCATGAAAAGGTTCAGTGTTATACAAGATAATTAGTGCCCCCCATCCCCTTGTTTTTTTGTTTGTTTGTTTTGTTGTTGTTGTTGTTGTTTTTTAAAAAAAGAGTATTTCCTATATGCTGTTAAACAAAGCAAAGAATCTTAAACACGGACAACCTAGTTTTATTTTGGATGGTTACTACTTCACACATAGAAATAAAATTATTTAGGAAAAAACGAAACTACCATGGTCAAAATTATTAGCTTCCCTATTGCCAACAGTCAGTTGTGTATCCTTTTTGCTGGATAACAGCCTAGAGTCAGTTGTTGTAGTTTTCACCAAGTCCCACAAGCAAATCTTGAGCAATCAATTCTTTTTTGGCAAATCTCTCAAGCTCCTTCAGATGTGATGGTCTTCTGTCTGGCAGGGACTCTGGTCTTCAGTTCACCCCACAGATTTTCAGTGGGATACAATTCAGGGCTTTGTGTGGGCCAGTCAGCAACGTTCACTTTGGTCTTCTGTAGGTAGTTCTTCACCAGGAGCGACCTATGCTCAAGGTCGTTGTTGTGTTGGAAGGTAAAGTGATGACACAGACACAATTTTCCTGTTTGAGGTTTTTTAAAATAAAAATCTTCACACACCATTCTTTCTTAATTATTGCTTCTGCTTTGATAAGATTTCCAGTTCTTGATGCACTGAAGTCTCCCCATAGTATAATACTCCCACCACCGTGTTTACCCTGGGGATGATGTTCTTTGGGTTGTAGGCCTCTCACTTTATTCTGTAAACATAAGCAACATCTCTTTGGCCAAAGAGCTCTAGTTTTAGGCACACTGCCAGTATAATCTTTCTCCAGGTTGTCCTGGGAATACTCCAGTCTAGCATGAAGGTGTCTGTTTTGCAAAAGCAGAGTTTTTCTTGGTCTGAAACCTTGGGGTCTATTCCTGAGCATTGATTTAGTTATTTTCTTCTTTAAGACTACAATTGTCTTCCTTCTCATACCCCAACTAGTGGCAGCAGATGGCTGCCCCTCCCTGAGCCTGGTTCTGCTGGAGGTTTATTCCTGTTAAAAGGGAGTTTTTCCTTCCCACTATCGCCAAAGTGCTTGCTCACAGGGGTTCATTTGACTGTTGGGTTTTTCTGTGTATGTATTATTGTAGGGTCTACTTTACAATATAAAGCACCTTGAGGTGACTGATGTTCTGATTTGGTGCTGTATAAATAAAATTGAATTGTACTGAATTACAATTGCAGGCTCAGCTAAGGTATTTACTAGAATCTTAGCAGTTGGTTTGGGGCCTTTAGACACATGTTTCACCAGTTTTACTTTCGTTTATCTAAATTTATCTAAATCTTTCAAGTTTTGAGCATCACAAAGTTAAAACACATCATCGTACAGCAGTGGTTTGTACCATGGCTAAATAAAACGGTCAGGAGAATAATAATATTGACCCTGGTCAATTTTGTTTTTCTGAATTAATACTGTTATTGTGTTCAAACAGAAATAATTTGTGCAGTCTAATGAAAAATAGTATGTTCAGGAAGTGCTATGTCTCTTGCGCTATTAAAAAAAGCACAGGCCAATTTTGACAAAAACTTTAAATTTCATGGGGGGTAATAATTTTGTCCTGATATGCATATACATGTATTGATACTATTTATCAGTCAGATGTATAATTAGTCAGTGTATAATACCAGTCAGACATGTAGCTACATCAGCTGTTTGGGAATTGTGAATGTTTGTGGCACAACAGCACATATTAACTGTCACGCAAAGCAAAACTGTGAATCATGAAAAGACCACAAACTAATTGACATACTCAAGCCTGTGGTCTTATGAGTGTTGCCTGGCTTCTACAAGATAAGATAATATAAGAGAAAAGACGACTACATAGTTTAATGTAGAATAGTTAAATAAAAGAACAACAATATGACAAAACAAAGTATAGAAATGCACAAAAGCCAATACTTAAAACGTATTGTCAAATGAAGTGGTAAAGATTTTCTGTATCTGTCCTGTGTCAAACAGAGTAAAAGAACCGATTAACAAATTTTGAGCCTATAGTCACTGTGTCAACAGTTTGGCCCATATATTTTTATTTCTTTTGTTTTTGTCGTTATTTATTCCCTCCTTTATTTCCTAAAAAACATATAAATCTTCAGTGAAAGTAAATATATTTTAGTAAAGTCTTCTAGGTCTTGAAAATCATCACACTGTCTTTAAACATGTAGCTAGTGTAACTTATGTGACACCGTTGATAAACCACTACTTATTGTAAATGTTATCTCATTGGCTGATAAGCTGATATCAGTTAAAATAGCCAATGCTCGATGATAACAATGTTTGGTGTTAATGAAAATAACAATGGTGCACTAGAGGGGCATCAGTGAGACAAATGACAAGACGTGAATGGTTTTACAGGTGGAGGCCAGTGACATTTTTTCCTCCTCATATTTCTAGACTGTTTTTTCACTACTTTTGCATTTAACTATAGGGTCAGGGTCACTACTGGTAGCACAAGGCGATACCTGGACCCTACAGAGGTTTCACAGGTAGTCCCACTCCTCCAGTATGGCATATGTGCCACTGGAGTTTGTTCTGTCTTCCAGCAAAGTCTCAAGAGCATGGAGGAGATTCCGGGAGACAAGCAGTTACACTTGGAGAGCTGGGCACAGCTGTGGAAGGTCCGTAACCCATCAGCCACCAAGGACAGGATAAGCACTGCCAGAGCCTTACAAAATGACTTCCAGCAGCAGGACACTGGTGTGAGTGTCTCTGACCAAGCAATCAGACAGTGACTTCACAAGGGCCTGGCATCCTCAAGTGGGACTGTGCTCACGGCTCAGCACTGTGGAACCAGATTGGAATTTGTCATAGAATTACAGGTCCAGCATTGGCACCCTGCGCTTTTCACAGATGAGAGCAAGTTCACCCTGTGCATATGTGACAGACGCATGTGAAAAAGAATGTTTTGCTGCCTTTAACATTGTTACATTGAAGGCATATAATAACGTAGGGAGGGACAGACCTCTACAGGCTAGCCAACTGCGCTATGGCTGCCATTTACTACTATGCTGGTGGAGTGGGTGCTGGGTTCCTCCTGATGCACAACAATGCTTGGCCTCATGTGGTGAGAGTCTGCAGGCATTTCCTGGAGGAATAAGAAACTGAACCATAGACCGGACCCTACGTTGAAACCTATAGAGCACCTCTGGGACATTACATTTTGGTCCACCAAGTTGCACGTCAGCCTGTGCAGGATCTAAGTGCTTCCCTGGTCTAGATATGGAAAGAGATCACCCAGGACATCATGTCTTCTCATTAGGAGTGTGCACCAATGATGTCAGACATTCATAGTCAGAATCTATACAAACTACTGATTATCGTTCTGAGTTGCTATAGTGACATGTTAGCATTTCCAGTGAGATGCTCTGCAGCCACTTACAGTTGCTGCTTGTTTATGGGTGTTTCTGCATTCAGTCTTGTATTTAGTAATGGAAAAACACCCGATTTAAGCTCAAGAGCTTTGATCGGGTGACTGACGTGGTCACTGGAGAATATCCCATTTCTTTGCCTTTGGGAAACTCTTGCAGTTTGCTTTGGGTCATCACCATTATCACTACGAAGCACTGTCCAGTTTGGAGCATTTGGCTATTTTCATTCTGTCATAATGCCGTGTGTGAGCCAGGAAGGATCAGGACCTAAAATACAGAACTCAGAAGCAGGACTAAGTTATAAGTGCATATAAACCAAGTTATTCCATTGATATGAGTTACAGCTGCTGTTTAAACATTCAGAACTTTTACTTCTATACACCTATAAACCATCTCAACATAATATGACTGCATTAATAAGCACATTTCTAACTGATCTCATAGAGATAATCGTTTCTGGTAATTTTAGGCTGTGGAAACACTTTTTTGCATGCACCCATGCAGTTTAATGCTCTGGCCTAGGTAAACAATCAAGCAGTACAGAGTAATGCACTGATTGGACACTAGATGGCAGAAAACATGCATCTGTTCTGTTTACAAGCTAACATGAACTCTGGCAGTAGTAGTTCAAAGCCCAGTACACACACCTTGTATAACACAAATCAGTACACCGTGTAAAAGGTGGATTTAACACAGCACCAAACATTGCATAACCGTGATAGCGAACTTGAACCTGGGGTTCACGGCTCGAAGCATTTGGGTAAGTATTACTATAGCTTAAAATGTAAATATGTTTGGAGAAAC